GGTGGGCTGGGCGGGGTGGCGGTGGCGGGGCGGGGCTGGGCGGGGGTGGTGGTGGTGGTGTTAGCGGTGGTGGCCATTGGGGCATTATGTGGAGCTCCCGATGGGGCCACGAATCGCGTGAGGGGTGTGCCGAAACGGGCATGACGCCCACATGCGAACGTCGCCACTGGGGCCTTAGGTGGAGCTCCCTATGGGGCCCCGAGACGTGTGCGCTGTGTGTGTGTGTGTGTGCCTACACTGGCGTGACGCCCACATGCGAACGTCGCCACTGGGGCCTTAGGTGGAGCTCCCTCTGGGGCCACGAGACGCGTGAGGGGTATGCCGGAATGGTTGCCATGGGAAGGGCAGAGGCAGGGGTGGGAGAAGGGAGGAGAGGAAGGAGGAGAGGATACGCGGGGCGATGTCTCTTCAAAGCGAGGACCCAACACCAACAGATGGTCAGAAATAAACGACGGGAGGGTCTCGATTGTCTGGTGCGTTTTCGCTTGCTCTTGGAGGCTTTCTTGTTTCGGGGTGCTCTCCAGCAGCTGCGCCTCGCTGAGAGCGCTCTAGGCTTTCCTGGATCGTCCCGAGCGGCCGCCGCAGAGTTCGGCATCGAGGGGAAACGCCAAGACTGAACAATTCAGATCGTCGGAGATTTGCGCCCTCGCGTCGGCCCCTGGAGGCCTGGGGGGCCCAAGCGGGGCGCGAGACGCCCCAAAGTCTACCGAACGCGTTCCAAGACGTCTTTCCCCTCGAGCCTCGAGGGCCCCGGGCGGCGCACGACCACGACGACGACAAAAGCCCCTCGAAGGCGACGGCTTCGATCTCGACGGCGACGGCGAGCGCGGCTCTGGCGCGCCCCCTCGCCAGCCCGTGCCCACCAGCGGGCGGCAGCCGGGCTGCGTGCGCGCCCCTCGTGGCTCTGTCGCAGGAGGAGGAGGAGGCGGAGGAGGAGGAGGAGGAGGAGGCGGAGCAGGAGGAGGAGGAGGCGGAGGAGGAGGAGGAGGCGGAGGAGGAGGAGGAGGAGGAGGAGGAGGTTCGCCAGGCGGCGTCGTCCACAGTGCAGGCGGGAGGCTTGCGAAGGAGGAGCGGGGGCTCGCTTGCTCCGGCTCCAGGCCTTGGTGGGGCTGAGCTCGCGTGGCCGGCGGGCCGCGAGGAAGATCGTGCACCGGCTGTGCTGAATTTCCTCCTCCTCCTCCTCCTCCTCCTGCTCCTCCTCCTTCCCTCTCCTCCCTCCTCCTCCTCATCCTCCTCCTCCTCCTTCTCCTCCCCCTCCTCCTCCTCCTCCTCCTTTTCCCCCTTCTCCTCCTCTTCTCCTCCTCCTCCTCCTCGTGCGCAGTCGCCAACTTGTTGCAGCGGCCTTGTCTTCGTGGTCTCGTCTTGTACCCTGTCTCGGCCGCGCAGCTCTGTACCTTCGGTCGTGGCAGGATCGATCGGCAGTCGCAGCGATCGTTTTATTCAGGCTCTGCGAAACAATGGCAAGGGGGCAAGTGGACAAGGGACCCAGATCTCCGACGTCGTAATTTGTTGTTTGGTATCCAAATATCCTGTGGTGTTTTATTGTTTTGTTCCCAACCATCCCGTCGTTCCTCCTCACTCCTCCTCCGCCTCCTCTCTCCTCCTTCCTCCCATCCTTGCCTCTGTCCTCCACACAACAATTTCGGCACACCCCTCACACGTTTCGTGCCCCCATAGGCAGCTCCACGCAGGGTCCACATGCGGTTCCGCCCCCAGTGCTTCGCTTCGCGGCCCCATAGGGAGCTCCACCGAAGGCCGCAGTGGTTTTAGCACAGCGTCCCGCTGCCCTGTAAGGAGCTCCACCCAAGGCTCCAGTGGCAGGGTCCACATGCGGCTGGAGGAGCCTCCTCGAACCTTCCCGATCCCCGATCTTCGACCCTTCAAGGTCCTCGATCCTCGATCCCCGATCTTCGAGCCTCCTCGATCCCCGACCCTCGATCCTCCATCCTAGATCCTACACCCTCCATCTTCGATTCCCGATCCTCGATCCTCGATGCGGTCCTCCCCCGTGGGCGGGGCGACCGCTCGCGTCCCCGCCAGGGGAGCGCGGAGGCCCCGCGGCGGGTATTTCTTAAAGAGTTGGCCAAATCGCCGAAGACATCCTCACGTTTCTTTGTAGAATTGCCCACATCGCGTGAGACATCCTGACATATCTTAGTAGTAGTGGTAGTAGTAGTAGTAGTAGTAGTAGTAGTAGTAGTAGTAGTAGTAGTGGTGGTCGTCGTCGTCGTAGTAGCCATCGTCGTCGTCGTATTCGTCGTTGTCGTCGTCGTAGTCGTAGTCGTTCTCGTACTCGTACTATTCGTAATAGCGCTAGGCTTGATGAGAATTTCATGGAATGCTTATGTGTACAATCAGTTGGGGGACCCCGCCTCCCGTTTTCAAGATTTGTTTCAGCTTTCACTTAGCGTGGAACCTAGCGTCGAAACTCTGCCCCAGAAAGCGATACACGCTATCCATAGATACCTGACCGTAGGGCTCCCAACTTCGCGCTTCGCGCTGCGCGAAGCGCGAATAACTTCGCGCTCTCGCGCCGCCCTCCCAAAGGGAGAATAGGAGGACGAGGAGGAGGGGGAGAAGGAACGAGGACCGCGAAGCGCGAATAACTTCGCGCCCTCGAGGGAGCCCTTGTGACTCGCTCGTCCTGGCGAAGTGGACCCCGCCCTATCCGTCGACCCCGACCTCGCACCCTGCAAGCCGAAGCCCTCTGAGAGCAGTTCTGGCGGCCGTTTCATTAGCTTGTGGCCCGGAGAACGCTGCAATTATTAGCACAATTAAATGATCCTAATGTAATAAGATGTGAAGGTTGGTTTTGGGATGAGAAAAAACAAGCATAGGAACGAGGGAGGACGGAGGAGGAAAGAGGAAGGAGGGAGGACCGCACACTGCAAATATTGAAAAGGAAGGTTCGAACAAAGGAAGGGGAACTGAGCCAAAACGCCACTGCACATGGGTGAATCGAGGCCAAACCATCGAGGCACAACTGCCATTGAAAGCGCGGCGTGCCAACCTGCAGGTGACTGCGAGGAGGGCGGAGGGGCGGGAGGAGGAATGGGGGGGAGGCTGAGGGGGGAAAGGGGGGATGGCACCGAGGAGGAGGGAGGCCGAGCGAGGAGGAGCAGCACCGTGCTGCGATCCCGAAGGCCAACACACAAGGGCAACGAAAGGGCCTCCTCTCTCTCTCCGCGGCGAGCCCCGGCCACGAAAGAGAGCTCCCCGACCTCGCTTTTCTCTGGCCACGGGGGGAGCCTCGGCCACGACGGGGCTCCCCGACCTCACGTGGGAGGCCCGCCCGCTTGCCGTCGCTCGGACGTCCATTTCCCGTGCATTTATCGGTTTCGTGCGTGTTTTTTTGGCTCGATGGTCCAGGATGGTCCTCGATGGTTCTCGCCGAGGAAAAATGCACACGTCCGAGCGATGCCAAGCCAGGAAAACTGGAGCCCCTCAGGGGCCCCCCACAAGTGGTACTCCTCCCGTCCGCGTCCCGGCCGCAGAGGCCCGCGTCCCTGCCTGCGCAAGGGGAGGCGAGGGGGGGCGAGGGAAAAGGGGCGGAGGAGGAAGGAGAGAGCGAAGGAGGGAGGGAGGGAGGAACGAGAGATGGGGAGAGGAACGGGAGAGGGAAGGGGAGGAGAGAGGAAGAGAGGAGGAACGAGAGAGGGAAGGGGGGTGTAGAGAGAGGAACGAAAGAGGGAGGGAGGAGGAAGAACGAGGAGAGGGGGAGAAGGCGGGGAGGAAGGCGGAGGCGAGGAGGGATGAGGGAACGAGGACCGGAGGGCGTTCGGGAATGCGCGGTGCAGACCAGGTCCAAGACTCGAAGAGCGACGACCGACCTTGCCGACGGAAGGCTTCGGCCGAAGATGCTGCGAGAAACGATCTAGGTACTCACGCTGGGTCTGATTTGCGAGACGGGGTCCGAAAACGTCGGCGAGCTTCCGACGATGGAGGAGACCGGCAAAGAACCCGCACGACAAGCAAATCCGAGGAGGAGGCGAAGGCCCGCGCCCCGCAGCTGGAGCCTGCTCCAGCGTCTGGCCCACCAGGTCGACGATCGGGTTGGACTCCGCCGACTCCGCCTGGGCGTAGTAGGAGGCGGCGACGGCGTGAAGCACCAGCAGGTACCTCGCTCAGACCCCGCCCCCCGCGTCGCGCCTCCGTTCACAGAGGCCCTTCATCATCGTCGTCGTTGTCGCCATCGTCTCCGTAATCATCACCACCACCATCACCACCACTATCACCACGATCATCATCATCATCATCATCATCATCATCATCATCATCATCATCAGCAGCATCATCCTCATCATCATGACGATCACGATGACGATTACGATCTTCATCAGCATCATCACTAGAATCATCAGCATCATCAGCAACACCAGCATCACAACCATCACCGTCATGATCCTCATCATCATCATGAGCATATCGTCATCAGCATCATCACGAACACCATCACAATCAGCATCTGCATCATTATCATCATCAGCATCATCATTAGCATCGCCATAACCATTATCAACATCATTTGTGTCAGATTCATTACCATTAGCATCCTCATCATCACCGTCAGCAGCGTCATCATCAGCAATAGCATCATCACCGTCATCATCATATATTACGAATCACAACCACCAGTACCATCATTAACTTCACCATCATCTGCATCATCACTTTCATCTTCAGATTCATTTCCATTCTCATCTTCTTCATCACCTTCATCGTCGTCGTCGCCATCACTAGTATACTGTGACTAATCATCATGTCCTCGCTCCTGCTCCTGATAGTTCTGTTCCCGCTCCGCCCCCGCTCTCGTAATCCTCTTTCGGCTACACGCAAGAGTGACCATGGGTAAGATTGACCTTTGGTGCGCGGCTTTTTGGGGGCCGCGGGGGGACCAAACCTGGGCGCGCAAGCCGCTGCTCCTGCTTTGTTTTCAGCCATCTGGGGACCCGTCTGTGCCCGCACCAAAGGTCACTCCGGCGAAAGGTCACTCTCACGTCTAGTCGACTCTTCCTCTTCCGACTCCTCCCCGCAATCTGCGCACCCCATCCCTCGTCCTTCTGCAACGGACATCTGCCATCTGTCGCACTACCGGACGTGTCCGCAGGCTAGGCCGCCCCCTGCCCTCAAGACAACGAACTCCAACAACTACACTTTTTTTACCAGCGAATGGAAGCCCAGTGGCAGAATGCGGGAGACGACACGACACGACGACGAACGACGAACGAAAAACGAACGACAAACACGACACGACGACAAACGAACGACACGACGGGAGACGACACGGCGACGAACACGGGTCGGATGACCGGAGGTGTTCCAAGTGCTGCTCTCGCCCTCGAGCAACGCACATTAGGCCTCAACGTCTCCGGCAGGCGGACGGATGGAGGGCCCGTGGTGCTCAAAATGTGGCCGTTGTCGAAGCACCAGCAGATCTTCCAACAACTACACTTTCGAAGCACTTTCGTTGCACTTTCGTTGCTGCACAAGATGTGGCCGTTTTCGAAGCACTTTCGTTGCTGCAGCTCTCCCAGCAACTGCAGGGAGGAAGTGCCCAGCCAGATGTCTTCAGAGTGCGGTTGTCGCCTCCACGCGACACGCAGCTGTTTTCAGAGTGCGGTTGTCGCCTCCCCCTCCTCCTCCTCCTCCCCCTCCTCCTCCCCCCCCTCCTCCTCCTCCCTCCCCCCCCCCTCCCTCTCCTCCTCCTCCTCCTCCTCCTCCTCCTCCTCCTCCTCCTCCTCCTCCTCCTCCTCCTCCTCCTCCTCCTCCCCCTCCTCCCCCTCCTCCCTCGTGTGTGTGTCCAATCCTCGAACAGCTGAGGAAGGTGGAGACTGGAGACCGGCATGTGTTCAGAGTGCGGATCTCGATTCAGACTGCCTCAGATTCGGCGCTGACACATCCGAATAAATTCGTGTACTCGTTGCCTGGAGAGAAACAGGCTCATTTTCAAAGTGAGGCCCTCGCCTCAAATTTCCGCGAAGCGTATGCTCAACCGGGGAAGCTCCTGTATACAGGGAGGGCAGATCCTTTGCAAACAAAAACTGCGTATGGCTCGGCACTTCGTGAAATTCGGTACTTCTACTCGTCTTTAAGCTAGATCTGGCCATCGCTCGGACGTCCATTCCCTGTGTTTTTGTTCGGTTTCGTGCGCGTTTTTTCGCCAAATGGTCAAGGATGCTCCTCGATGGTCCTCGCCGAAGGAAAAATTCACACGTCCGAGCGATGCCAAGAGCTAGATGGGTGGAGGTCAGGTCCCTTACAACCCGGGGTCTCGCCCGGATGAGAGGCCCACGGGGCGCTCCTCATTCATTCAGGGCAGGAGTGTGGGCCGAGAGGGTGGATTGCAGCATCGCTGAGGCATCCTGGGTGCACACGGATTGTCCTCGTCCTCCTCCGGATCGGCGCTCGTCTTCTGCTCTCTCTCGGACGCGTCCGCGCCCCCCTTCCTCAGCCTCCTCCTTGGTCATGTTTCTTCTTCTGCTCCCTGTTCCCTCCGTCCCTCAAGCCCCCCCCCCCCCCTTCCGATGTTCATCTTCGCTGGTCTCGTCCTCGGGCTGCCCATCCATGTCCCCCATGGTGCACCTTGTTGGCTCGTTGTTCCGGGCCACTTGTAGATAAACTGCGTTTCTGCGCCAACCCCAACGACTGCAACATCAAACCTGCAAGGATGCCTCGCAAAGATTGGAGGGGCGCGACACGAGCCTCTCAAGCTTGTGTGTATAGGTGCGCGCGCATACAATACCTGTCAGACCCCAACCACTGATCTCTTGCAATAGAGGCGGGGTGCAATCCACGTTGCGCAACCGATGTGGTGTAATCTCGGTGATGCAATCCATGTGGTGCAATATGTGCGGTGCAGAGCAACGCAAAGCAAGACAAAGCAAGGCAACACAGTTCGAAGCAATGCAAACCAAGGCCACGCAACGCAAGCCATTGCAAAGCAAACCAAACCAAGGCAACGCAAAGCAACGCAGAGCAACGCAAAGCAACGCAAAGCAAACCAAACCAATGAAAAGCTACGCAAGGCAAAGCAAGGCAATACAAAACAATGCAATCCAAAGCAATGCAATGAGAGCATCGCTAATCAATACAAAGCAATGCGAAATAGTGCCAAGGACGCCAAGGAATGCCACCGAATGCCAAGTAGCGCAATGCAAAGCAATGCAGCGCGATGCAACACAGCACAAAGCAATGCCAAGAAATACAAAGCACTGCCCAACAATGCAAAACAATGCGAAACAACGAAACGTAAATTGACGCAACGTAAGACAATGTAAGGCAAATCAACGCAATGTCAAGCAACGAACGGCAAAGAACAACAAGGCAAAACTATGAAATACAATACAAAACGTGTAAAGCCATGCAACGCAATGCAACGCAATAAAAGGCAATGCAACGCATTTCAAAGCAATGCGAAGCATTGCAACGCAAAGCGACGCAAAGCACTGCAACGCAATGCGAAGCAATGGAACGCTAGCAATGCAAGCATACTATAAAGCACTGCAGAACAATTCGAATCGATGCAAATAGACGCAGCGCGGTACAAAGCGACACAAATCAATGCAAGACATATGAATTGCAACCTAGAAAGAGAGAGAGAGAGAGAGAGAGAGAGAGAGAAAGAGAGAGAAAGAGAGAGAGAGAGGCAGAGAGAGAGATAATGAAAGAGAGAGAGATAGAGAGATAATGAGAGAGAGAGAGACAACAAAGCCTGGGGTAAAAGAAACATAGCGATGAACAAACGTCATTGGCCGCGCTCCGGAGGGAGACGGAACGCGAGGGCGCGGGTAAGGCGACGCCAGGGCAAAAATAGCACTGGAGAGAGGGAGAAGTCTGGAATCCCTGAGAGCTGCGGCCTTCCCAGAGCGATCAGGCGCGCTCTGCGAGAGCGTGCGAGGCTCACTGGGGCAATACGTTAAGCCCTAGGCCTGCCTGATTGGGGCACCTTCCAGGGAAACGAACTCTATCCAAAGAAGCATTTTCCGGCACTGCACGGACATGTGCAGCCAGGAGAGCGGATCCTCGTGTATACGGGGCCCTGGCGTATACATACCTCGTTGTTTCCCCTGGAAACGGGGAAAACAAGTATACACCCGAGCGAAGTGAACACCACCCTCCCCCTCAGGAATCGTGAGGGGTAGGGGTAGGGTTCGCATCTGGCCCCCTAACCACACCACCCCGACGTCGTCCCCGACCCTCAAAAAGTCCTGGGACTGAAGGACGGCCCGCCACTGGAAATGCCAGTTTCCGACTGCCGGGCCCCCGACCTGGCTAGAACTGGTGCGCTCCCCCCCCCCCGGCGCCACTCACATTTTCCAAGATGGTGGACATCGGCACGCGGGTCGGCAAACAGGGAGGGTACAATCTGGATCTGGGACAGAAGAGCTGAAGGGGCCCTGGGACACACAAATAAGTACACACAAATAAAAGGATTCCCCATATTTTCCAATATTTTCTGGGTTTTCGTCTTCCCCCCCACTTCCCATATTTTCCCATATTTTCCTGGGGGTCGACGATTACTTGTGTCTGTGTGTTCTTTGCCCTCCTGAAGAACATCTTTCAAGAACACGAGACCCTCCGCCGGCCCAAACTGACCCGCCAGACCACCCCAACCCAACCCGAGGACCCGAATTTCGGGTTGGGGGAGGTACGGGCTGACTATGTGTTTTTCCATGTTCTCCGACCCCCCCCAGACTGGGAATGGAGGGCAGACTGGGGCCTTCGGGTTGGGTTGGGGTGGTTTGGTGGGTGGTGACAAACTGACGAGCATTCGAGAGCTTCCCCCCCCCCCAGGCGGCACCAGACCATCCAACGAACACGAAGAACCGTAATTTGGGTAATTACCCTCCCCGAGCCGACCTCGACCTTACACCTCGGTCCTCTGGGTCCAAGTTCGAACATGACATCGATCTTCCATGGGCCCCCACAGGTCTGGACCCCTTCCCCGGGACCCGTTTTCATCCTGCGTCGTTTCTTAGGCCCCGAGGCCCAACAAGGGCCCCAGAGGCTAGAAAGAGCGAAAAACCTCCCGCCGTGATTTTTGTTCTAAACGCGAAGGGTGGTCCGACCGTATGTGCTACGCTTCCTCTCGCGTGCGCCGCGCGCGGATCGCACCACGGCGGGGCACGCGTAGAACATCCACAGCCACCCGGGGTGCCTGCGGGCTCGCCGGCCAGCCGCGGGGCGGAAGGCCTTGGGAGGATCGAGAGGACTGCTCACGAGGGAGCTGGGGGGAAGGCCACGGGAGAAAAGAACAAAATAAACGGAAGGGGGAGGAGAAGGAGAGGGGAGGATGCATAGGAGGGGGATGGGGAGAAGGGAACGGGCGAGGGAAGGCATCAGGGACGAGAGAGGCAAGGTGCGCGTGCCCAAGAGAAGAAGCATGAGGACGGGCGCGCACCCGCGGGGCAGCAGAGAGACAGAACACCCCGATGCCCTCCCCGCACCTCGTCCTCGTCCTCGGGGTCGTCGGCCGCGAGCGGACTCCCCAGGCCAGAAGTGGCAGTCGACGGGAAGAGCTAGATTGCATCATCCTGCATCCTGCCTCGCATGGGCAAGCGCGTTCCACTGCCCGCAAAGTGACTATTCGCCAACGGCTTGGAGCCGCCGCGGCGAATGTGCGGTACATGACATAGAAGAAGACTCATGCTCATCGGACGCTTGCGAGTCGGCCCTCTGCGAGCAGTGAAAAACGCGCCCGGGGAGCGAAGGGACAGCCTCCGAGGCGGCGCTCTCTGGACCCCCAGATAGGGAAACGAGCTCTACATACACCGGCGCTTTTTTCCGACCCTGCGCGGAAACTCGCACAGGAACGCGGATTCTGGTGTCTACGGGATCCTGGCGTATACATGTTTTCGTGGTTTCCCCGCGAACGCGGGGAAAACAAGTATGCACCAGACCACCCCGACGCCGCCCCCGACCCTCGAAACGTCGTAGGATTGAAAAACGGCCCGCCACTGGTCATGTACACAGGGCAGTTTTTACTACATAGGATTTTGAAAATATATGATTTGTACTACATGATTAATGTATGAATAAATTCATGCATGAACTCATCGCTGTTTATAATACTAAATCCTGCATTTTTAATACATGGTCCGCACGCGGAGCATGTATTAAACAACGGCACTGGATGCTCCAGTTCCGACCATCGGGTCGGGCGAAAGGGGGGGATAACAAAGGGGGGGTTTGAGAATCAGCTCACGTAGCTGACTTTCCCGGCGCCTCCCGGCGCCGGAGGCGGCTATGTATATCGAGGAATGGGCCCCTCGGTGAGGCCGAAACCAGCTGCATGCAGCAAATTTCGCAACCCCCCCTTTCCCAATCCCCCCCTTTCGTCCGGCCCGAGAAGACGACGAAACTTCGGGAGCTCGATCTCCTACGCCGACGACGCGGCGATGGCAAGGGCTGTCGCCGCGACGGCGGGGCACGACCCCGCGGTGCACACACCCGCCCGCGCCTGGCGCGACCCCGCCGCCCCCTTCCTGGTGGCCTGAGGGCGATCGACACCGGGTGGCACTGGCTCTCAACGTGTGGGGCACCCCTTTCGCCCGGCCCGAGACCAGACCGAGCAGCAGAGACAAGACAGCCCCCCCGGGAAGCGGAAGAAGCCACGCCACGGGCCCGAGCGCGAGGCCCCGGGCGCGGCGCCCGCGGCCCCGAGGCCCCGCCCCGAGGGCGCAGCTCTCCCTCGGCCGCCGCCTCGGGCCAGGGGCGGCTCCGCGCCTGCCACCCCCCACGACCAGGCCCGCCCCTCCCCCTCCCCCTCCCCCTCCCCCTCCCCTCCTCCTCCTCCTCCTCCTCCTCCTCCTCCTCCTCCTCCTCCTCCTCCTCCTCCTCCTCCTCCTCCTTCGCTGCGGGGCCCGCAGCGCCGCTGGGCCCTGCGAGCGGCGGCGCCCGCCAGGCAGCTCCATCCGCGCCCCAGCCCCATCCAGGGGGACACAGAGTGGCGTAGACATGCCAACTCGGAGGTCCGCGCGGACTTCTCGCATCGGCGCCGGGGCCCCCCGGCGGCGCCTCCGGCGCCGCCCCTGGCGCGCTCCGCGCGCCAGGGAGGGGGGTCCAGCGCCGATCCGAGAACTCCGCGCGGACCTCCGAGTTTTTGTGTGTGTGTGTGTGTGCCACTTTTTCCGGGCGTTGGCAGAGCTGGGTTTAGTGGAACCTGGTTTAGTGATGTGTACCAGGGAGCGCCCCCCCCGCCCCGTTCCGCTAACTGGAACTGCCGTCACCCGAAAAACACCAGTTACGGCGTTACGGCAAACATGGTCTAGTGAATCTGGCCAATTGAAGGGCCCCAGGGTCCTACCACTAACCGGGTCTCCTTATCCGGGGTCCTGGCTACACCCGATTTTGACTCCCCTACCATCTCGGATGCCCCTGCCCTTCTCCTCATGTGACGCTGTGGCACGGCAGGGCTGAGTCAGAACCGCCAGGGCGCACAACAAGGCACAAAGAGAGACGGATAGAGAGAGAGAGAGAGATTGAGAGAGAGGGAACAAGAAGAGAAACATGACTGAAACAACAAACAATAACGAACATGAAGAAGCCTACCCACTCGGCACAATAACTCCTCCTCCTCCGTCTCCGACTCAGCTGCAGCCATGGATTGTGGCAATCGCCCGAAATATGTGATCTTGACTCGCGCCCTCATGGACGGCCGAATCGAACCTCCCCCTTCCTAGACCTCCAACCTCATGATTTCTGAAACCTCTTCCCGGCGACCACTTCGTCATCCCAAGTCGTTCTCTGACAGTTTCGAGGCCCGGGATGGGCCGTTGGAGACCCAAAATTGCCGAACCTCCCCCCCCTCGTCATGATTTTTGCGCGACGCGAGGATGCCTGGCTTCCGGGCCAGGACTCAAGCCTCCAGCGGCCGATCAGGACAATCCGGGAACCCCCGGAACGATCTCGACGAGCCGCAGCTGCTGAAAAGCAACCCAAAGCGAGAGAACCTCGAAGAACCGACGAAAGCATCCGAACACCCCTCCAATGAGAATAGGGGCGGCGCTGCTTGAGCAACTTCTCGGTGAACTTCCGGAGCCATCTGTCCAGGGCCCCGTGCACACACACCTCTCGCGCCAGCCCCTCCTCCTCCTCCGCCCTCTGCCTCCTTGACCCCTCCTCCTCGTGAACAACTCCTCCCCGTCGCACCTCCAGACGTGTCGTTAGGGCAGGTCGGACGTTTCGCCGATGGTTTCCTCATCATAGATCACCCAGAAGATTGAACTTTGCAACAACTTCAAGAATGGAGAGCGGGTGGTTTTCAAAATGTGGCTCTCGCCTCCCGCCGTAGCGCCAAGCACATTCTTCTCTAAAGTTTGCACCAGCTTCAAGGATGCAGGGCCGATGGTTTTCAAATCGTGGCTCTAGCTCAGGCGCCGCGCCTCTGGGCCTTACCATTTTGCAGCCGTCTGAAGGATGGAGAGTGGCCCCTTTTGAAAGTGTGGCTCTCGCCGTAGCGACGCGCACACTCGTCCTGAAAAGCTGCAGCAGTCTCAAGGACTCGTGTGGAAGTCCAAGGGATGGTGTTCTGGTGCGCCTCTGGATCGCCAGAACAAAGAAGTCACGCTGATTCACCGCAGTTAAGTCTAAGGACTGGCATTCTGGAACGATTGGTGAGGATTAACAGACAGTTCTCTTTCAATGGTGCACTTCCTACAATGGCAATCGATCCTTGTAGGGGCCTATAGAGAGGGAGCTTGGAGAGAGAGCTGATTGCAACGTCGTTGATGCGTCTTGGGTTTGCACTGGTCCCAACACCTCCTCCTCCTCCTCCTCCTCCTCCTCCTCCTCCTCCTCCTCCTCCTACCTTCTGCCTGCTCCTCATATTTCTTCTCGTCCTCCCCCTCTCCCTCTCCCTCCTCTCGCCCTCACTCCCTCCTCTCCCCCCTCTCCTCCTCCTCCTCCTCCTCCTCCTCCTCCTCCTCCTCCTCCTCCTCCTCCTCCTCCTCCCCCTCCTACTCCGCCTCCCTCTGTCCCTGCCTCCTTCCTCCCTGCTCCCTCCCTCGCTCCCTCCCTCGCTCCTGCCCTCGCTCCCTCCCTCCCTCCCTCCCTCCCTCGCTCCCCCCCTCGCTCCCCCCCTCGCTCCCTCCCTGCTCCCTCCTGTCCTCTGCCCCCCCCCCCCTGCCTCCGCACCGCCTCCGCACGACGAGCACTGCTCTCCCGCGCCACCCCCGCAGCTGGGCCGAGAGTCGCGCGCCCGCCCTCTCCGCGCCTGGCCTTGCTCCGCCCACGTGGATGCGCTCGTCCGTACACTCGAATAAATACACACAAATATTGAGCATGGACCGACCGTCCCGGCATTCCTATAGTCCTACCACGAAATGTTCTTAGACCCCAGAACTGTTCTAAGAACAAATACAATGTTCTTAGAACATAATACCGGTGCGTTAAACCAAGCCAGACTCCGCCAGAACTATTCTAAGAACATTTCGTTGGAACCTCAAAAGGTTCTTAGAACATTGCTTGGTTGGGCTATAGGCGAGCTGGGACGCTTCGCCACTGCTTGAACAGGATTCCCCAGATTTTCCTACATTTTCTGGGCTTTTTTCCTCCCCCCCACAACTTCCCGTGCTTCCCCATATCTTCCAGGGGATCGACGATGAATTGTGCCTGTGTGTGCTTTTTCCCCTCCTGAACTCTGCGCGCCTCTCCGGCCCAGCACCTCCAGAGTGGTGCTCCCGCTGCAGCATGGGCCTCCCGAGACCTCCTCGCGCTGTGGAACAAAAAACTCGCGAGGGCAGGACTTGCTGCCATCTTCGGCCTCGGGGGGCCCTCGCCGTGCCTTTGGGCCGTCCAGAGACGACTCCGGATGAACGACCGGTCCCGGGGAGAGGGCCGGGACGTCCAGGGGCCCCGCATCGAGCAAAAAACAGGACGTCGCATGTCTGGGTCAGGATCGGAGCCCTGCTCCCGCACGTTCAGAGCGGCGCCCCCGCCCCCGCGCGGGCCACTCCGGCTGGGTCCGAGTCCTGCCTCGTCGTTGTCGGCTCCCTCCTTTCCCCCACCCCCCCTCCGCCTTCCCTCCGCCTTCCCCTGGGTCCCGTGCTCCTCCCGCTCCTTCCACTCAAATTCCCGCTGCTGTTGCTGTTCGTCCTCGCCCTCCTCCTTCCTCATCTCCTCGTTCTCCTGCTGCTGTTCATCCTCCTGTTCATCCGCCATCGCCTCCCATGTACGCGCGTTCGTCTGTGTAGCCCTCGAACCTTCAGAGCTGCATACGTGCCATCGTTTCTGGCCTTTCTGCAATTGAGGTAAAGCAATTGTGGAAACAAGCCTTGGGCCCCGAGACTTAGTCTGGGGGGCCATACCATATGCTCACTCCGGATCGGCCTCTGGCGGGAAGGGCCCCAAGAGACCGAGAACGGCAAGACACCTTCCAAACATCATGATGCACAACCGGGGGACCTTGTCCGTTCCATCGCGACGCTGCTCGCGGCGAATCCGCGTCGAACCCACGTAGAGCATACGACGAAGCGTCGAGTCCGCGTCGAATCCGTGTCGAATTCGCCGCGGGTCCGCGTCGGACACGAGAGCCGCCCTCCACTACGGGACAGACAAGGTCCCCCGAAAGAGGCAACGTGCCAAGGGCCCCCCCTCCTCCAAGACCCCGTGTGTCCGTGGCTCCCGGTTGCAGCAACCGTCTGGATGCAGAAGCAGCAGCAGCAGCAGTCATACAGTCGGGGCGCTGAAGAAGGAACCCTTCTCGTTGGGGAGGGGCTCCGTGTTCCTTCATTGTTTCACAGTTTGCCCTAGGTTTTCTTTACATTCTCGATGGGAAATCAAAGTTTAATTTATGAAAAAAAGGGGCCTCGTTCCTTATTTAGGGCTCCTTAGGTCAACGCCCCGATTGTACAATCGACCCTAGGCCAGAGGAACATCCCCCAAGAGCATGAGACCCTCCGCCTGCCACGACAAGCCGAGCTCGGGCCGGGCGAAACGGGGGGGGGGATAACAAAGAGGGCGGGTTTGAGACTCAGCTCACGCAGCTGATTTTCCTGGCGCCTCCCGTCGCCGGAGGCGGCCATGCATCGAGGAATGGGCCCCTCGGTGGGGCCGAAACCAGCTGCATGCAGCAGATGTCGTACCCCCCCCTTCCCCAATCCCCCCATTTCGCTCGGCCCGAAGAACAGCCAAAGGGCACCCTCCTCAGGATGCACAAGAGCATCCAACGAACACGAAATGCACTAGGCCAGCCGCCCCGAACCGACCTCGATCGTACACCTCGGTCCGACTGTACAGCCGCCCCCGCGCTGGGGGGGGGGGAGACACAGGAGGGAGGGCTAAGACGAAGCCAGGACGAGGATACCATCGGGTGACGATAAATCGAGCATCTCTGAGATCCGGCGACTCCGGAGGACGTTTCGGGCGCCGCGGCCTTCTCTCAGAGCGTTCCGGAACGCTCTGAGAGCGCTCTGGGACGCGGTGGAGCGGATTCATCCTCGGCTGGCTTCCCACTGCGGAACTGCTGGATGATCATGCGGAAGCCCTGCTTACACGGCCCGTGCAGCGCGGGCTGGGCGCTGGAAAGACATCTGGCCACATACGTATCGGGCCGGCCGCGCAACGTGCATCCACTGGTAAAAAAAACAGGGCTGCTCGGAAGAGGGGCACCTTCCCAGAAGAAGTACACGCCCACCCTCGCTCGATCCCCTGGCATGGGCCGCCAACACAGAACGGGAAAAGGCATTTTGAAGATATGTTCAATTATGCTTTTATTGCATCGCCTATGTTTTACTTAGGACGGGAAGAAGCTGGCCACCCAGCCATCCAGCGTGTGCAAGGACTCCCCCGAGCTCGCCGACCAGACCTCCGCGGTCTCTTCAATCGAACAGGTCAGGACCCACTGCCCGCTGGGCGAGACAACGCGGCGTAACGACGAGCCTCTCGCGGCCCTACAGGGTGCGCAAGAACTCTCCCGAACCCGCAGACCATACCTTCGCAGTGAAGTCTGACGAGCCCGTCAGAACGCCCTGCCCATCAGGCGAGTGCGCGGCGGACGCCACGCTGTCGTCGTGGCCCTTTAGAATGCGCAGACAGCCCCCCAATGTTGCGGACCAGATCTTCGAAGTGCAGTCAGCCGAACCTGTCAGGACCCCCATCCCGTTGGGCGAGCAAGCGGTAGACATTACGCTGTCGTCGTGGCCCTTCAGCGTGCGCAAGCAGCCCCGTCGGCAGTGATCTTGGCAGGGCCCCGAGCTCGCGGACGAGATCATGACAGTGCCGTCGCGGCTCGGTCACGACGTCCCGCTCATCCGGCGAATACCTGGCGGACCACACGTGGCCGTCGTGGCCCTCCAGCGTGCGCAAGCAGCCCCCCGAGCTCGTGGCCCATGCCTTGGCAGCGCCATCGCTCGACCCAGTCAGGACTTCCTGCTCCTCGCGCGAGCACACGGCGGAAAGCACGTGGTCGCCGTGGCTCTTGAGCAGGCGCAGGCTCTCTTCCGCCCGGACCTTCTCAGTGCCGCCGCCCGAACTGGCCAGGACCTCCTTGCTCTCAAGGGGCCCAGGGACACACAAATAAATATGTACAAATCCCAAGATTGCCCATCTTTTCGTATATGTTCGGGTTTCCGTCTTCCCCCACACTTCCCATATTTTCCCATATTTTCCTGGGAATCGACGATTCCTTGCGTCTGTGTTGTTTTCCCTCCTGATGCTCGTTGGGCAAGCACGCGGGGGACCTCAAGAAGGTCGCCCATGGCCCTCCAACGTGCACAGACAGTCCCCCCAACTCGCGGATCAGATCTGGGCATGGCAGTGCCGTCGTTCGACCCAGTCAGGACCCCTGTCCACCATCGCGCGAGCACACGGCGGAAAACACGCAGCCGGCGGCGTTTGCGGGCGCTCCCCCGAGCCAGCGGACCAGCTCGTCGCAGTGCCACCCCTATCCGCGCACACCACCCGGAGAGGAGCAGAGGTCGCAAGCAGGGTCAAGTCGCTGCCATCAACGACCCCGATACCCTCGAGGGGATCATCCCCGCACAGCTCCAACTGCCCACCGAACACTCTACAGTCTGGCCACTCCTCACGTGGCGCCGCCGAGAGCACATCGCGCAGGTGCCACGCGGGAT